TGCCTTACACCTGATCCCTTCGACACCTCGTGGTTGCATAGCCTGGTGTGCTTCTTCCATGTGGGCTTTGGAAACATTTAATTTTTACCTTACATGTTCTGAGAACTTTTATTTTTTCAGCATCTCCCACTTTCCTAAGTAGAAACATTTTAGTGACTAGGAATAATCTTTTGGCTCTCTTATTTTGTAACTTAAATAGAATATACTGTCTGCAAAGGGTAAAAATGTTAAAATATTATTATCTTATTAAATTATTTAAATCATTATGTATAAAGTTATTAAATACAGTTAGTAAGCATACATGTTGCTATTTTTGTAAAAAACCATGCCATGAATATTCCAATTTTGTGACTCAAACATTGTAGTACTGAAACTAAAGATAGAAGTTGGGGAAAAAAATCAATTTTAGATTTCTGACAGTTATGAATAGTGTTATATAAGAGTAGAAAGTCAAGAACATGAGAGGGTCACTGCCTTATTTTTCACAGCACATTCTTTGTAGTTTATTCACAGTTTTGAGACTAAATTTGTGGGACTAGAAAATGAAGGAACAGATAAAGACAGGAAAAGTATAGCTAATATTATTAAACTTTTATCGGTAACTAAACTTTATATGTGGAGTCTCTCTCTTAGTTTTCTTTTGTAGGAATTGTTAATCACATGTTTTAAATGGAGAAATGTCTTCTTCAAGGTCTCCCAACTAGTTAGTGGAGGAGCTTGTACTCAGATTTAGGTCTGTGACTCCAAACCCAATACTCTTTTCACATGGGACACTTTACTTTCTTTCAGGGGTCAGTAGAAAGTGGTTATGATTTCTGCCTGCTCCTCTCAACATGTTTTCAACAGATGTTAGAAGATTTGAATAATATCTTCGATGCCATGGTGTCTACAGAGGTATCATGTGTTTTCTTGTGCTTGGTTAGAATATACCTTCAGGGATAAAAATGGTTATATAATACAGATAATTGTGATTGAACCAAATTGCTGCTTATGATATTGTATGATTTTACTTCTTTCCTGCTATTTAAAAGCTTCTTAAAACATAAGGAAGCATTCTTTACCTTAGCAGTTCTACCTCTGTGAATTCATCTTAAAGACATTTGCGTTAGATAAGTGTGCATTTATGAATAAATAAGTTCATTGCATTGTTTCTAATAGCAAAATCTTGGAAGCAAGTGTTTGGTAAGCAAGGGTTGGAATACTTTCATTCCACTACAGATGGATTACCTGAGTTCCTGTGAGCAGGAGCACAGCCACAGCTTAGATGGCTTCTCTGCTTTAGGGTTTCAGGAGCCTGTAATCAAGTAGTTGGCTGGAGACTTAACTCAGGGAAAGCAAACACTTTTAAGTTCACTTAGGTTGTTGGTGGAATTAATAATCTCCTTGTGCTTACACAACTGAGGCTTCTTGCTTGTTGTCACCTAGAGTTCCCTCTAGCTCCCAAAGGCGACCTGCAGTTCCTGTCACGTGGCATTTCCCAATATGATCACTTCATTAAGGCACCCCCAGAAGTTTCAAGAGCTAGCCACACAGTTTTTTTAAAAAGTAACATAGTCATGAGATTGACATCCATTGTCACTTCGTGTGACCCTAGGGGACAGAGTAGAACTGTCCCATAGCTTTTTTGGGGTTGTAGTGTATTTAATTGTGTTGTTTTACGAATATATACAGTATGACACACCAATTCAAGTTTCCACATCTACAGTCCAGTGACACTGATTACATCCTCTAGATCGTGTACCCATTCTCACCCACCTTCCCTGAGTTGTTCCTCCACCAGTCACATAAACTCACTGCCCCCTAGATTTCCTGTGCAACTTTTGAGTGGTTGAGTAGCCCTGGTGGTGTAGTGATTGTTAGGCTGTGATCCACAAGGTCATCCGTTTGAAACCACCAGCCCCTCCACAGGAGAAAGATGGGGCTTCCTACTCCTGGAAAGAGTTACTGCCTTGGAAACTCACAGGGGCAGTTCTGCCCTGCCTTATAGGGTCACAGTGAGTCAACATCGACTTGATGGCAGTGAGTCTGAGATTGACAATCTGATCCTATGTAGACAGATATTAAAAGAGCATAATGCTTATGGCAGACACGTTACCCTAGTTAAGCTAAACTGTTATTTGGTGGTCAGGGGATATTTTTCATTTAAGGTTTAATGGTTATCTCATAACAGTTTCATGGGTTCGTCCAGCCTTGTGGCTCCAGAATGTTTGGGTTCCATGAGAGTTTTAAAAGATTTTCTATATTTTTTACCTTTTGCTCGTGATTTTTCTATAGAATCTATTATCAGAATGTTAAATAATGGTAGCTAGGTGCCATTGAATTCTCCTGGTCTCCTGGCAAAGGAGGCAGTTGTTCCTGGAGGCAATTAGCCAGACATTTTCCGTTTTCTCCTTCTATTTTTGATGTTCCTTCCTCTGTTGCTCCAGGTGAGTAGAGACCCAGTGCTTTGGATGACTGCAAATCTTTAAGACTCCAGGTTCCACTCAGTGAACTAGGAAGTGGAACAGAAACAGTAAATGAATTATGAGGCCAATTAACTGGGGCGTTTCATGAAACCATGACCCTAAATTTCTAAACCAAGGAACCAGATCCCATGAGGTGTTTGGCTATACATAGCCTCTGCTGGTTTTCTTCTTGGCTGTTATAAATATATTCTAGCGCACAACTTTTGCTGATTCAGCTTTTGACAAATCTTAAACTCTCTACCATTGAGTGGATGCCGACTCATAGTAACCCCCCCCACCGCCCACCCTCCTGTGGGTTTCCAAGATTGTAACTGTTTACAGAAGTAGAAAGCCCTGCCTTTCTCCTGTGGAGTATCTGGTGGTTTTGAACTTCTGACCATGCAGATCCTACCAGGGCCTGTTAGACAACTTATATAACTTTTGCTATATTCTGTTGATAAGAAATGTCACAGGCCTGGCAGGGAAGCAACAAAGCCCACATGGAAGAAGCACACCAGCCTTGTAAGCCCACATGGAAGAAGCACACCAGCCTTGTAATCACAAGGTGTCGATGGGATCAGGTACTCAGGCCAGAATGTAATGTCTTATAATTTGATATCCCAATGAACCCAGTGTAAATTTCTTCTAAATTTTCAATAGTTGCTGCTTTTGATTAGATCGAGGTCTCTATTAGTTTTATATGGTCACTGTTAGTGATCCCTCCTTGGTGCCTGCCCTAGTTTTGTAAGGCATTGGGATTGAGGAATTACAAAGATAGTAATGGGATTGATGATTACCTGGGCACATGAAGGGAGAGGGTGGGAGAAATGGGGAATCAACATCAAATGTGTAAAAAGGGAAAAAAAAGTTCCAAAGTTGATTGTGACAATGATTACACAGCCCTTCTTGATATGATTGAAACATTGAATTGTATGATACGTTAATTATAACTCAATTTTTTAAATGCTATTTTCAACCTAACTAATGGACAAGCATACCTCAAAACGATTGCAGGTTTAGTTTCAGCCCACAGCAATAAAGCAAGTAATGCAATAAAGTGAATCTCGTGATTACCCCACCCTGCCCATTGCACAAGTTATATTTACATTGTACTGTATGTAGTCGTTTATGTGAACAATAGTATTGTGAACATTGTTGAAATACTGTGAGAATTACCAAAATGTGACACCGAAACACAGATTGAGAACATAGTGTTAAAAACATGACACTAATAGACTTGCTCCATGGAGGGTTACCACACATCTTCAGTGTGTGGAAAATATATTATCAGCAAAGAGCAATAAAGTGAGAATCTGTAGTGATGTTTGTTAGAATTAAATAATAATATGTGATAAAGTGGTAAATTGCTTTAAATGTAATATTTGTTAGATTATGTGAACACTAACAAGAAAATTATTTTGTAAAATCTTTCTGCATGGAATTATATTAGTAACTGAGCAGGAGACTTTTTTGATTATTGTTCTTTGTTCTTTTAGTTACTACTACTTCCTCAAAAAAGTTGTTAATACAGATTCACAGATACTACCCACCACAGTATTATAGGTAAAACACCAGACTTTCGGACAAAATCAACTAATAAAAACACTGGCAGCAACGAAAACAGTAGTGAGTTATTTTGGTCTCTGTGTGTATGAAGCCATGTGATTCACAGCATTAGTGTGATGACCGAGAATGAATTAGAATGTTCACAAAGTATATTCTACCTTATCTTTGAAAGTATAATGACACATATGAGCTGGGGTTACCAAAAAATGTTTTTGTTGTTATAACGAACTATAGAGACAGTCTTTTTTTCTTCTTCTTTTGAGTCTTTTTCTTAAAAATAATATGTTTCTGCTAAAACACTGCCCCCAAGTTTTATAGACAGTCATTTTGGTGTCACCTCTTGATAACGTTACTCTGGCATTCCCCAGTGATGGCACTGGAGGTCTGTTAGTGAGTGCTGGAAAACACGAGGCAAATTGTCGTCAGATGTCAAGCAGAATGAAGAGTTTACTGAAGCACCAAATATCTGGAAGGATATGGTCCTTATGCTCCAGCTCTCCTGGTGTGAAACAAGTTGTCAGCTACCCTAGGCCTTTGGAGGGAGAGAAGGAACTTCTACAAGATGAGGTCATGACAAACTACCTATATACTCCTGTATAAGCCGAGTTTTTCAGCACAATTTTAATGCAGTTTTTGTGGTAAAATTAGGTGCCTCAGCTGATGTTCGGGTCAGCTTATACTCGCGTATATATGGTAAGCTCAGATAAAAATTTAGACCAGGCTTGCCTCACAGTAGGTAGATGTTCCAAAGATTGTGGAGATGACAGCCCTCCCTTATGCCTCTAGAGTCTGTAGCTTCAATCTATAGTTTTTTTGCCTGGGATGTATATCATCTTCCTGGGGCTTGATCTCCACTGCCTCTCTTTTGCATTGAATTTATTTCCTGTGTGCCACATCTCTCTTGAATGAAATATATCTAAGTAGTAGCATATGTACAAAAGATGCTACGAGTCTTGAGGTCTGGGATGTCTATACCAAGTATGAGGCTAGAATGGTTTAATTTGAAAGCATTCCAATTCAGGATTATGAATGAATAACTCTCTTGTCTATTTCCTGATTTAGTTTGGAAGTCTGAAGCTATTCTGTTAATCCTATATATGGCCTGTATCTGAAGTTTACTATGATAAGCCTTGGTTTGACTCAGGACTTGTGTTGAACATTCTGTGGGCCCTTTTAGTGTGGCAACTCTTATCCTTAATGTTTGGGAAGTTAGTTTATTTTATTAATGATTTATTTTTCTCTCTTTATCTTTTTATTTGAATATGAGTTCCTCTACACTAGAACTTTGATATTTATATTCTCTCTTTCAAGTTTTATCCCTATCTTTTTTCTATATTTCCTTGGAGAATTTTCTCAATTTTAGTTTCCAAGCTTTCTTTAAAAAATTTTTTATTTTATTGGAGGCTCGTACAGCTTTTATAACTTTCTATACATCAATTGTATCAAGCATATTTGTACATATGTTGACATCATCATTTCTTTTTTTTTTTAACATTTTATTAGTACTGTTTTTATTACAACTGTTATCCCAATCCATACACACATCAATTGTGTAAAGCGCATTTGTACATCGTTTCTCAAAACATTTTCTCTCCATTTAAACCCCCGACATTAGGTCCTCATTTTTCCCCTCCCTCCCCATTCCCCCCTCCCGCATGAGCCCTTGATAGTTTATAAATGGGTATTTTGTCATATCTTGCCCTGTCCGACGTCTCCCTTCATCCACTTTTCGGTTGTCCGTCCCCCAGGGAGGAGGCCACACACAGTTCCATGTAATCGGTTCCCTCTTTCCTACCCATTCTCCCTTTACCCTCCCTGTTTTGCCACTCACACCACTGGTCCTATAGGGCTCATCCGTCCTGGATTCCCTGTATTTTCAGTTCC